AAGTAGATTTTGAAGAAGTACAAGATGAAAAATTGCAACCCGGTATTAATACCAATGGAACCAGGTGCAAAACTCTCACAATACGATGAAGGAGAACAAGTAGATGTAAACAGGTACCGGAGTTTGGTAGGAAATCTTTGCTATCTTACATGCACAATGCCAGATCTTTCATTAAGTGTCGACATTATAAGCCGGTTCATGGAGGAGCCGATTTATTCACATTGGAAGACATTGAAGCGAGTCCTACAGTACATCCAAGGAACGGTGTCACTTGGGCTATTCTACTCGAAAACAAAAGATTACAAGTTGGTTGGTTACTCTAACAGTGATTGGTGCGGAGACATAGACGATCGAAAAAGTACATCGGGTTATGTATTCTTTATGGGCAACACAACATTTACTTGGCTTTCAAAGAAACAATCGATCATGACACTCTCGACGTGTGAAGCTGAATATGTGGCAGCATCTTGGTTTGTGTGTAACACGATATGACTTAGAAATTTGTTGAGCAAGATGGAGCTAAAGCAACTAGGTGCAACCGTGATTCAAGTTGAAAACAAATCAGCAATTGAGTTGGCAAATAACCCATTGAACCATAAAAGAAGCAAACACATTTACGTTCGTTTTCACTTTATCCGAGATCATGTGAAGGAAGGAAGTGTGGAATTGCTGCATGTGGCAAGTCAGGATCTAGTTGCAGATATCTTTACAAAACCGGTACCAAAAATATTTTTCGACAAATACAATAAGATGATTGGCATGACAGATGACAGGAGCATTTAAGTTTATGGGTGAGTTTTATTATTGAATAAATGTTAAATGTTATTTTTAGTTAATTTGAGTGAGTTTTAAATTCAAAAGTCAGTCGTGAATGAAAAATGACAAGAGTGTTGAAGATGAAAGACCAAAGAGTATTTAGAGGAAATAATAGCTTTTATGGCTTAGTAATGGCGTGGCTATAATTAGTTTTAGGAGAGCTTATAACTACAATGTTATTTCTCTTCTAGAAAAAAAAAAAAAACTAAAAAAAAAAAAAACTAAAAAAAGTAATAGAAGAGGGTTTTTTTTAGATAAATAGAGTTTTTTTTTCTCACTGCTCTCAAAAGAAGAATGAGTGTGCTTTAGATTTCTTTCACAAATTTGTGAGATTTCTTTAACAATGATGGTATGGATATCATATTTAATGGACGATGTTTTATTTCCATTGGGTGATTTAACGAGTTATCATTGTAGGGGTGTAATACCCCATGTACGGTCGTATATTTTAAACCATGCGGCGTCATAATCTTGACAGAATCATGAAAATCTTTAGGGAAAACTCAAGCCCATCGTAGTTTTTTGCTCAACGTTGCAACATCTTCAGACCTTAGACGAGATTCTCCTTCGTCGACTGTACACAACTCATGTGGATAAAAAGTTTGTTCGACCATACACTTCGCCTATGTGACTCTAAACGACTTACTTCTATTCTAGGCCAAGTTCTAAGGCTCGACCTTGTCTCTACTCTAGGCAATAGTCCTTCAAATGCAATGTTGCATCTCATTCCATTGTTTTAATTTTCAATAACTCGGCCCACACACTTCGTGATGACATCCCAAGTCTTGGGAGGTCATCTGTCCACGCCGCTTGCTTGGACCACTTATTGAGAACCATAGGCGAGTTAGTAAGATAGTCCTAGAATAGAGAGTCCTGCGTTTTAAACTGCCTAGACGTCCTAGGAATCTAGTAGACCTTCATGACATATGAATGACTAAGCTAAGTCTCCAAGTCATTAGCATGTGGCTTCATCGGACCTTAGGCGAAGTTTGTCTTCGCCAACCGAATACAACTTGTAGGGAATCCAAGCTTATTTGACAACACAAGCCGCCTGCATGTGCATGTTCAATCTTCTACGACCCAATCAACTTGTTTCTACACTAGGTCAAGTCATTCAGCTCGACCTTGCCTCTCTTCGGGACCAAGGTCTCTCATGTGCAATGTCACATCTCATCATGTCGTCTTTATTCTCAATTAACATGCCTCACATGTCTTGATGCCATCCCAAGTCATGAAGAATCGTAGTTCATCATAGCTAACTCGGTCATGTCCAATGAGAACGAGCTAGTGTCGTGCTTAATATCGAAACATCCAGAACAGCTATCCACTCGAGTTCTATCGAGGCATTAGATTCTCCTGTGCCCATGTCATATCATTTATAGACTCCGTATCGGATACAAGTGTATGATCCAACCTTCACCACATGGGTAGGGGCGCAATGTCGACACACCCGTGTTGTTCCACTCTATCTTTGAAAGACCTATTTCAAAGAAAGTCACCAGAAACACTTGTCTCACAACGCTTGCCCTCATTGTGGCACGTCAATGTGCCACAGGGTAGCTCGCTTAGGCCATAGGGTCCAAGGGTGGTGGAAAACTGGCACCATGCCTCCCGTAATGTACATTTTGAGGCATTTCCAATCTAACAAGTGTAGACATGATTTTAGTGAAAGTACATACAATGTCGTGGAATGTTCGTTCGGTGTATGATTGACACCAAATTTGGCAAGCTTTCATATCTCATGTCGATATCGTTGCCTCTATTTTGACTTGGCTTTTATGCACATATCTCTGGTGTGTTAGATGAAGTACCATCCTCCTTGGTCGCATCATGCTACTCGTCTTGCCTCGACCCTTGTGTGGTTGGTTGGGCGCCACTACCATATAGTCATCTTGTCTTATTTACACACAAGGGTCACAACCTATTCTTTTCAAAGTAAGGTTGTGACACCCGTCATGCATATTATGAGAAATATGCTTAATTTTTTATTTTTTATTTTATGTTGCATCATGTTTATGAACAGATATTTTCTATATATGGGATCTCATGCATGTGTGGTGGAAAACTATTTCAAAGGAAGTCACTTGAGACACTTGTCTGGCAACGCTTGCCCTCACTGGAGACACGTGCATGTGCCACAGGGTAGCTCGCTTAGGCCATAGGGTCCAAGGTTGGTGGAAAATTGACACCATGTCTCCCCTAATGTACATTTTGAGGCATTTCCAATCTAACAAGTGTAGGCATGATTTTAGCGAAAGTACATACAATGTCGTGGAATGTTCATCCAGTGTCTGATTGACACCAAATTTCGCAAGCTTTCATATTTCATATGGATGAACTTGACTCCTAAATCACATGCCCAAATCTCATTCGAATTCCAACTTTCGAGGTTAAGGCCCAAGGCCCTACCTGACCCTTCAACAAGCGTATCTTTGACATTCATGTCGATATCGTTGCCTCTATTTTGACTTAGCTTTTATGCACATATCTATGGTGTGTTAGATGAAGTACTGTTCTCCTCGGTCGCATCATGCCACTTGTCTTGCCTCGACCCTTGCATGGTCGGTTGGGCGCCACTACCATGTAGCCATCTTGTCTTATCTACACGCGAGGGTCATAAGGTTGTGACAATAATCATGCGTATTATGAAAACACTTTATGCTTAAAAAAATATTTTTTATGTTGCCTCATGTTTATGAACGAATATTTTCTATATTTGGGATCTCGTGTGGGTCCTTAAATTAATGGAATATTTATACATTTTTCCTTCTTTTCTATAGATCTTGTAGAGGTTCAACATGAGTGAAAGTGATGTACTTAGGATCGTTGTGTGAAAGTAATACTGTTAAGGATATTTAGTAATAAATTATAGTTTACCATATATATTATATTTAATATTTTATTATAAGGCAAATATCTAACATTTGCCTTATTAGTATAGATATCTTTCCATTTATTGTTATTTCCATTTATTACTATTTCCATATCCTTGTAATTTATTTGATTATAAATAAGATAACTTTCACACCATTTAGGTGTGGTGGATTCAGCAAACATTCACAAATACTCACTTGATGCACATACGTTCCGACCTTCTTAACATGCATATGGTAACATTTTGGTCAAATTTTAGAAGTTGGGAAAACTTCGTTTCAAAAATGATAAAAATGGTGAATGGGATATGATTTTTTGGATGACACTCAGCACAATTACACACCATATGACCAGGCTACAAAGGTCGTATGGTGCCCGATCATGATCTCGTGCACGATAGTGCAAGAACGTGTCTTCCGAACATGTTTCACTATTGTTTTGATTTTGCATGAAAATTTTCATGTTTTATTGCGAGGGTTTTGAAACACTTTAATGATATGATTTAAGAGTATGGGGAGAAAAGGATCCCTATATAGCTTCTAATACATTCCCTTCTAGAGTTCTTTGGGCCGTACGCTTGCTCATATTGGGCTCCCCATTTTACACCATCGGCCCATTTCTAAACAATTGAGGCCACGGCCCAATGTTTGCCCAACTGAAAGCCCAAAGGAATATTAAATATGAATTAAATGATCTATTATTTATAAAATTAAAAATTTTAAAAATTGTGTGTGGCATCATGATCTTTGACATGCTCACGACAAATCTTAAGAGGAATTCAAGTCCCGTTCACATTTTTCGCCTAGCTTTGCGACTTTGTCAGATCTTAGGTGAGGTTTTCCTTTGCCAACGAACACAACTCGTATAAAATCTAAGCTTGTTCCACCACACATGCTGCCCAAGTGTGCATGTTCAATCATCTGCGACTCTAGTTGACTTGCCTGTACACTAGGTCAAGTCATATGGCTCCACCTTATCCCTACTCTAGGCTCATACGCGTCTACGCATCTCATCTCATCATCTCTGGTCTTGGTAGCAGATATTGTTCGCTTTAGCCTGTTACGTATCACCTTCAGTCTCACGATTTTTAAAACGCGTTTATTAGGGAGAGCTTTTCACACCCTTATAAAGAATGTTTCGTTCCTCTCTCCAACAGAAGTGAGATCCCATGTCGGTTGGAGAGGGAAACGAAACATTTCTTATAAGGGTGTGAAAACCTCTCCCTAATAAACGCGTTTTAAAATCGTGAAGTTGACGATGATACATAACGGACTAAAGCGGACAACATCGGTTAGCAGTGGAGTTGGGACATTAAATTGGTTCCCTTTATGATTTGGAAAGGAAAGTCTCCAAATTGAAGAGCTTGGTTCAAATGTTGAGGCCAAAGGTATGGACAAAAGAAGCACCAACACCAATCCCAAACTAAGTTTTGATTAATACAAAACAAAAATGGAGGCTCCAATCCTGCTTAATTTGAGCTTGTTGTAGGCTAAGTGTGTGCAGATTGCGTCGACATTTTCGGGTGATTATGCTCTCCTTCGTACGTTACGATAAGCATCGACGGGTCTTCTAAGCATCGCTCGACGTGCTTTCTCGCTGGACAACCTCTCATGCTGCTGCATTTGTAGTAACCCCTGCACACATTTTACAACAAAAACAAACTCATTTTACAAACTTCCTCAATCATCAACACTTTCCCTCTCTCAAATCCTCAATTTTTCGAGTTCGAAATGATCCAACGAGATGAATACTTTCACAATGGATAAAAACGATTTGTATTCGTCAGCAATCTTCATAAAACAGGCATCCATTTGGTTTGACGATCGCCCGAAGTTTTCGTGTTTTCAAGTTGTCGAAAAATTACAAAAACTTGGACCCATTACCAATTACAAAAACTTGGACCCTTTTCTTGGTAATGATCCTGTTATATGAACATCTTGTTCTAATGATTTAGCAAAGAGACACCTCTTTAACCATGGTTATTAGAAGTAGAAGTTATTGTAAACTTCTTATAGCCTACCGCTAGCAGATATTGTCTGCTTTGGCCCATTACGTATTGCCGTCAGCCTCATAGTTTTAAAACACGTATGTTAAGGAGATGTTTCCACACCCTTACAAGAAATGCGTTGTTCCCATCTCCAACCTATATATGAGATCTCACAATCCACCCCTTGGTGTCCAGCATCCTCGCTGGCACACTATTTGGCTCTAATACCATTTGTAACAGCCAAAGCCTACAACTAACAGATATTGTTTGCTGTCACCCGTAACATATCACCATCAGCCTCAGTTTTTAAACGGTCCGTTGGTAAGAGGTTTTCACACCCTTATAAGGAATGTTTTGTTCTCCTCTTTAACCGATGTGAGACCTCACAATCCACCCCCTTGGAGCCCAGCGTTCTCGCTGGCACACCATCCAGTGTCTGGCTCTGATACCATTTGTAATCGTTCAAGCCCACTGCTAGCAGATATTGTCCGTTTTGGCCCATTACATATTACCATCGCGTCTATTAAGGAGAGGTTTTCACACCTTTATAAGGAATACTTTGTTCCCCTCTCAAACCAACGTGGGATCTCACAAGTAAACACATCATTGAGGTCATTATCAGAGTCAAAAGGCTAGAGTGATGCACGAAGTGGACAATATCAGTTAGGACCGACTCGAGATTTAATCATACCTGGGATGAGGAGAACCCTTAATTGGCTTCTGCCCATATTTCCTCCATGAATAATCATCAGAAGGGATATCAGCAAGTTTGTTACTTATAGCAGGAACCTTAATTGATCTCTTCACTCGATGTTTCCTACAAAAACAACCCAAATTATCAGTAAACCAAAGGGATATCAACACCCAACAAGATGGATATCAACACCCAACAAGATGGATATCAATCCAACCTCTTCTTTGAGCAATGACACTTGCCAGTGCTACCACATTTCAAGCTCCCTTCATCTCCCCTTCCAGAAAACCTCCTCTTGTTATCGCCCGACATCGTCGACGACGGTCCGATCAAATGGAACGAGCTCCCGTCCGCAACGCTCCCATCCATACTCAACGAAGAAATAAAAGATCTAGCAGATGACATTGTCAATGTGCACTTGGAAGCATCAAAATTCATATTCATCCCACTGTTACTCCTAAGAAACATCATCTCTGCTTGCTTCCTCTGCTGCTGCTGTTGCTGGGGGAAGCTAAAGTTCAAAGATGGAGCAGCTTGTTTATGAATTTTGAGGGAATTCTTATGATTTTGATCCATTTCCAAATCTGGGTTTCCCAAAAAAACTGAAACTTTACCATTCAAACCATTGTTTGGAGGATCTAAGAGAAGTTTTTGGGGTAAAGGCAGAGGAATGTTCTTGAATCTTCTAACTTTTGCATAACCAAACCCAGAATTCAAAAGAGATACCACTTTCTTGAGCTTAAAAACAGCCTCTCCAGTTTCCACCATTAAATTCTTCCTCAGCTCACCTTGTTCTTGAGGAGAAGGCTGAGCTAAAAGATTCAAAACTCCATGGCAGCTATCTATGGCGGCTCTGTTAGCTTCTTCAAGCTCTTCCATTTGAAGAACAAAACACAGAGGTTTAGAACACAAGAAAGTGAATCAAAATAAGCCCAAGAAAGCTTAGAACTATACAACAAAAACCCAGAAAGGAAGCATCAAAACAGTTGAAATGGAAGAAGAAATCATAAGAAGAGAGAAAAACAGAGCGTGTAAGTTTCTGAAACCCTAAACTAAAACTTCCATGATTTGTTTTTGTTTTTGTTTTTGCTTTTGCTTTTGCTTTTGTCTCTCTTGGAGAAGAGAACCCAACTCCTTGAACAAGCCACACCCCAACTCCTACCTTTTTTTTCCTTCTTTTCCCACCTTGCTTATTTAAATAGTTTGAGAGAGAGGAAAAGAAAAGGTTTTTCCAAGGCGGGTCTACACGGGTTGAGTTGAAAAAAATATTTTCGATGAACTCAGAATCTCGGGTTGGTTGAATAGAGTTCACAGTACAACCCAACTTAATCACTAACATGAGTTTCTAATTTTCTTAATTTTAGTAATAGTCTTACCGTTCGAGTTGAGTTGTAGACTTGTTTTTAGATTAGTTGAGTTGACCAACCACAAAAATGTCAACCCGTGATCTGAATCTTTCAAATATATAAAAATTTAACCTAACTCGAACTCAAATATAATCCTACTCAACATTTATTATCCGGGTTGGATAGTTGGATTTAGTTGGATTATTTGTTCGCTACTAATTTGGAGTTCCAGAGAGAAAAGAAAAAAAAATTAAATATTTTAATTTCAAATTTGTGTCTTTATACTATTTACACGTATTTATTTATTTATTTATTATTATTATTATTTTTATTGGTTTAGAGCCACATTTTGGAGTTGCCAAACTTGCACTCACCATGCACATAATTTTTCAACTATAAATCCTTATCCTAAAATTTAAGGTTATCTTAAACTTTAATTATTTTATAATTAATCTTATAAATATTTAAATCTTAAAATTATTTATATATAATTTAACAAATTATAATATTAACCATGAAATAATTTGAGTTATTTATTTATATAAAATTTTAATATTACCAGATATTTAAAATAAAACGTGGTTTAAAAAAAATAAAAAATTTAGAATTTACTTATATATATATATATATAAAGTATGTTTAGATTAGATTAGATATGCAAAAAAAATAAAAAAAGAAAATAAAAATGGGATTAGAGGCAAAGATTCGACCTGATGCAATCATGGGAGGAGAGACATGTCCTGCGGCTGACAGGGAAGTCGGTCCCACTGGGACCACAATAGTTGACTCTTTTCCCTATTAGTCTCCCTCGGTCAAAAGTCATCCACATCCACCTCACTATTTTACAACTTTATTATTATTTTTTTAAATTTTTATTACTTTTTTTTTTAACTCTAAATTATTTTTTGGATTAAGAAAATCCCAAGTTCAAGTCTATCTAGTCTCTCGTTTTGAGGGTAATTATGTAAATTAATCTACCCGTTATCGTTTATGAAGTTGGTGATTTGATTCTTCGCTCCATAATAATAGTTTAATTGAAAAGTACAGTGTAACAGTTCGACTTTAGAGGTGTTCGTAGGTTGGAGTTAGTTGAGTCGAGTTGAGACATGTTTTAGATGTGACACAATTATTCGAGTTGTCAATTTTTTTCAACCAAAATTAATGAACTCAACTATAAATTTGTTGGGTTTAGATTATTTATTCAAATTTCTGTTTTTAATAAAAATTACTTTCAAAATAGTAGAACTTTATTGTTAAGAGTGGTCGGAGAATAAATAAAAAAAGTAATTGTTAACAACTGTGATGTCCTACAATGATTAGGGAGGAGAACAAAACACCCTTTATAAGAGTGTGAAAACCTTCTCATACTAGATGCGTTTTAAAGCCTTGAGAGGAACCCTGAAAAAGAAAGCAAAAAAAGGACAATATCTGCTAGCGGTGGGTCTAGGGCGTTACAAATCATATTAAAGCCAAATACCAGACCATGTGTCAGCAAGGAGGCCATTTCATGAAGGGTAGACATGAGAACGCTGGGCCTTAAATGGGGTGGATTTGGTAGGGTCCCACATCAATTGGAGGAAGGAAATAGTGCAAGCGAGGACGTTGGGGCCTGAAGGGAGGTGGATTGTGATGTCCCAAGCCCTTCCCCGAATTGGTTTAATTGAAATAGATTTAAAGAAGGTAGTTAAAATTGCACTTGTTGTATAAATATTGATATGAATATCTACTTTTTCATCCGCACTAAATGAACAATTAATAATTTAATCTCATCCGCCCAACTGTCTCTCTGTTTTAAGAATATTTTAATTTAAAATATTTATAATATGTGTATAAAGTTTGATGACTTTATGAAGTTATTTTAATTTAGTGGAGAGGCCAATTTTAAAATAAAATGATACCATAATGAATGAAAGTGAGTGGGATTATAATTATTGAGAATTAATCATGATTATTAAAATTAAGTCATTTAATTTAATTTAATGTATTTATATGAAAAGAGTTGGGAATAAAGGGATTCAATCATATGAAATTGAAAAGAGAATTTTAAGATAATGGGTGTCACACGGTCTATAAAGTCAGGGTATAAACTTTATCAAAATCAAATTACACATTTTTTCAACCTTATCTCTACCTTCAAATATTGAAATTCCATTCACTCATAATGTTTTTTTTTTTTCTTCTTTTTTTTATAAATATTTCCTTCTCAATAATTCCACAGTATACAAATTCTGCTCTAAAATAATTGAAATCGAAACTTTGTTATATCCCAAAATTATCTCTCTCTTTCATTCATTCATATATATATATATATACATACATACATACATGCATGCATTGATAGGGGAACGTTTCCGCCTTAGAAGGAAGCACCCACGCGAGCAATAGTGGACGAAGCGGAAGCAAGGATGTCGACTTGTGTAACACAAATATTGGTGAGAAACCAATGACCCGAAAACTTAAGGGTTCTTCCCAAGGTTCGTCCATGAAGGGTGAGTCAGGACCTAAGATCAGGCCGAGAGGCGTAGTCGATGGACAATAGGTAAATATTCATGTACTACCCCTTGTTGGTCCTGAGGGACGAAAGAGATTAAGTTAGCCGAAAGGTTGTTATTGGTTCAAGGACGCAATCTGATTTCAAAATAAGAGGGGAAAAAACTTATTTTATTTTTTTCTAAAGAAATTTAGAAGTAGAAGAATAAAAAGAGTGCATTCTTTTCCGGATAAAGATAAATATGTCCATTTAATCTGGAGCTCTAAAGAAGATAGTGATGTCCAATTAACTCGTGAGTCAAGTTTACACAGAGAAGTAGAGATGTTTGTTTATCCCGTGAAATCTACTTTAAACAGAACAAAAACTCCTCATTTAAATGGGAATGAAGGAGGGAGCGAGAAGAGATTTTTTTCCATTAGTTGAACAGAGTCAAGAACAAAGATTATATTCTCCATTCCCACCCCCATCTTATATATAAAATATCAAAAATCAAGACACAAAAGTAATATATATTATATTTTTCAATCGAAATTATATTAAAAAATAGAAATTATCTACTAAAAAGAACGTACCCACGAATTTTCAGTAAAAAAAATCTCCATAAAAATAATAAAAAATAATTATAGAAAATTTTGCAAGAATGAGATTAAAGAAGATAGCAAAGACGGAGACATAGAAAGCTTTCCCGTGCCACCCGATAGACATCTCTACTTCATCAAAATTTCAAAGAAGCATAATTCCCATTCTGTGAATGAGGATCTTCTACCTGAATGATAGAACATCCCACTAGCCTCCAGAAAAAAACCTTAATTTTACACAATAACATAATTAAAGCTAAATCACAATTTAAGTGCTAATGATCTTCTTAAACGCCTCATAATCATATGAATAAAGGTGAGCAACAAATAGAAGAAGGAATAATATAGCTCTTAATTTATTCTCCCAAAAGCTCAATATTGGCCCTTCTTGCATTGGATCTCACCCCACCAGCAGAGATACACAACACTTCACTTTGACAAAGGGGAAAAAAGAGCAAACAATGTTTGAAATTTCTTCACAACATAATGAGACACATCAATTTTAAACACTTTTCTTTCCCTCCTTTTAATAAAGTGGTCTAACTAAAGGAGAAAGCTGGTGGTTTGGGATTTTAGTATGATCCTATCAGTGAGGCTTTCTGTAAGATGGAGGGTTTTCTTACTATCCTCTTTGAATCTAACTCCCCCTTCTTTCATCTTCCTACATCATTGGATTGGATTTAACCCAACAAGTCAAAAACCTTGATGTAATCTAATCCTACCTCCTTAAAACAAATTTTCATTCAACTTGAAAAACTTCTTAGATTGAGCTACCGAAAGGGAAGATGCACTGTAACGGCTCAAGCCTACCACTAACAGATATTGTCCTCTTTGAGCTTTCCCTTTCGGGCTTCCCCTCGAGGTTTTTAAAACGTGTCTGCTAGATAGTAACTTTCAATTCTTGTAAGTCTTTCTTAGTTATTCTATCCTCAGGATCGTTCTCATTCAGATGTAGTTTTCGGTTCATTCATGTATTCCTCCTTTACTTTGAGGGTTACAAGTCAAATATGCTACACATAGATGTTCATAAATCTAGTTAGGTTAAGTTAAGAGACATTACAAACTCAAATAATGAGGTTGTAAGTCAAAGTCAACATACCTTGACAATAATTGACATATATTCTTTTTTGTGAAGTCAAGGTACAAATCCTCATACCCCAATTGTTGTACCCAAAAAAAGATAATGAGGTTGCAAGTTTATAGGATCTAAATCATCCTCTCAGTAGAGGATGAATCCAATTTAACCCAACAATGTTCCCAAAAGACCTGTTAAAGAGTTATTCACCTCTGAAGAACACGTTTGAGTAAATCATAAAAAATTTATAATGCAATATTCTGAGAATCTGATACCAGAGTTTTGTTCTTGATAATGGGACCAAGGGGCATTAAAATACAGCCTTGGAAAGTGGGCAACTCTGAAATATCAACAATAACATGTTCATAATCATCTGTTAGAAAGGAATCTTCAGCCTGCAATTCATACACAGTAGTAGCCAGTAGCCCTACATGGATAACAAATTCAACATAGTAAGGGGACTTTATCTCCCTAAAGAACAAAGTGTGGTAGTGTTTTTGCTTGGCCAGTACAGCCAAGAAGATTGCATTTGACAGTGACTGGCACAGCTTTCTTCAATCTTGACACAATCACATGCTAAAAAAGAAAAAGATGTGTACTCTTAGGGAACAGATTCCTAGATATGAACCAAAGGTGAAAGCAATAAAGTTGAAAGCGTGTGGTATTTCTGGCTGGCTCAAGACTACAGGGATGAGTTTGGCTTTTATGATTTTTGAATTTGGGTTCTTTATAATATTGTTTTGATAATCAAAAGTATCCATACCGACTTCCGCACCCTTCAACCAACAGATATTTAACATCTTAATAGACAACTACAACAATTTAAACTCTTGAACTAAACCGATCACGACTCAACTAGTTAATCCATGATACATCGAACAAAAGGTTCGAGGATTGAATCTTCAACCTCATATATGGTTGGACTTTAAACCAAACCAATACATTTTGTTATCAATGAAAAAGATGAGATAGAGGCATCAGGTAGACCTAGTGTTGATTCTATGAAGGGAATAGGACTATTTATAGTGTTGAGAAATGTTTTCCAACTCATCTTTTGGAGCAGGATGAGGCACTCTGATTCTTCAGTATTTTTTTCCAATCAATTTGACCCACTTTAGAACATTAGCAACGGGCTAGAAAAATGCTTTTAACTAATTAAAAATTATTTTCAATCATCCTTCACTAAAGGTCAAAAAGTCACTTCGAAAATTTTAAAGATACCTCAATGCATTTTCAAATGCTCATAGAATTAGCTACTTCCTCCCAATATCCTTTTTAACCTTCCACTTCTGGTTCTGGTTTTGTTCTATTTTAGTTTTTGTACTATCACATATCCAAATTTAGTCCTAGCACTGTTAATAAATCTTAAGTTTAGTCCTTGCTATTAGTTCATAGTTGATTTTTTCAAAAAGAAAAGTTCAGTCGGTATAAATTTTGAAAATATATTCACATGGTGTCTTTTTACTATTATTATTTAACCAATTATTGAAGGACTAAATTTAAGATTTATTGAAAGTAAAAACACTAAATGAATAATTAAAACTACAAAAACTAAATTGGACAATTAAGAGTACAAGCACTGGAACGAAATGGAATCCATAGTATTTAACCTTTTTTTTTTCCCAAAAATATTTGTTGAAAAAGAAAAACTATTCACCTAGAGCAATCTCGAACACACTCTTGCTATAACAAGCAGTGTTCAGCTCCATCAAGAAAAGACTTGAGTTTTGATGGGTGAAATTCCAATAACTGAAACAAATCCCAGAAAAACATCCCAAAAGCAACTAAAGAAGGGGCCTTCCATGCAGAGTTGAAGATAGAGCTAACATAGTGATGGTTGGAGCATCTTGGTAAAAGACTAAAGCATTGCTAAAGAAAAATCTTGATATGCATTCACTCAAGTAGTATTAGTGGAATATCTAATGGTTCAATGTGCAAGGCATGATCTTAAATCTGAAATCAGGAGGCACGAGATAGCAGACTTAGCCAACTTCTTCTAACAATCTACCAAATAAATACTTGGTCACAGTTGATTTTCTAGTAGAAGTTAAATAATAAAATAGAATACAATTACCTTACACTCAACAATAATGGATACACTACCGAAAAGATTGTGTTTATATCGAAGTCTACAATGAAAGATATGAACAATTAGAAAGCTCTAGATATTTGAAATAGAGTAGAGAATCCTCTCCATGTTTACATGGCAGCAGGAGAACACTCAAATAAAAAGCTTTGACAAAATCTTCAAATCTTGTATTATCGTTAATTTATATCATAGGACCATTCCATATTATGTATTCTTTAATGGATTAACCAGTACTCTTATATGCATTTCGTAAATTATCTAATAATAGTTCAGAGGCTTTCCAAACTAGTTCACCCATACTTTGAGTAATCTCAGAAGACAACTGCCTAACCTTGAAACATTTGGTTGTCAGGAACCTGGTAGAATTTTAATATCCTAGGTAGGTGATGTCATAAGTGACCTCCATGAAATCTGAACCGTTCTTTCAAAGTGTTATACCTTTTTTACTTGCACCAATAACCATTAACCATTAGGTCAATCCATAATGGTTAGTTTCTTAAACTACTTTGAGCTAAATTAAAGTATTGGCACAAGATGTGAACAGAGCATAGGAGCAAATGAGTGTACCGTGGTGGAACTTGTGAAAATGTTTATCAATATTGAAGAAAAATCATGTATTACAATCAAACTGCATGCCAAAATTAAAAAGGAAAAAAAAAAGGGACGGCATTGGTAAATTTACTCCAGAACTTTAATAATCGATTCTGAAAAAAGCAAGACGAGAAGATTAACTAAATAAATAGTAAATAGAGACTATACTTCATCAATGAGTTTAGAGAAGTACGATAAACCTATCCGTGCAGTAGGCAATGTGAAGTCATTGCTTCCTCCCCCTTCCTTTCTTGGTTGGCTGTGCATCAACCTGGTCCTTGCCCGTCACTTCTGATATATCCACTGAAAAAAAGAGAAAAGTAAAAAATATATGAGAATTCCAAAAAGTAGAATTGAGTGCACATTAGACTTACAGGTTGAAGCATTGATGGATAAATAAAAAGAAAATTATATAGACTAAGAAAGATGGTCTATGAATGCGAAGATTGCATATAGATCATAGATTGTGTGAAAACTCCAGTCTCGCCGTGAACCATTTTGGCCAATATAAATTAGTTAGCAAGCAGGTCTACACTCAATCATGGGCTCAAACGGCATTCAGAGGAGTAGTGAACTCATCCTCAAGTACTGAAATCACCATGGAGCTAATTTACAAGTTTCCGCAATTTGAGGATTTGAAACTTTCATGCAACTAAAGAATATATAGTTTCCATTCAAACTATATAGACAACAAGAATTCAAATCTTAACAAAATTTTAGTCCTAAATCATGTCACTAGCAAGCGGTTATTTATTATTCAACAGGGTATTCTGATGCTTCATTAATCAACATAAATTAAAAGGCAAAATACCATCGGGGCCCCGGGCCATCAGAGTGAAGAATATGTTGTTGAGTTTTTCCATCTTCTTGGCATCCTGTGCCTGGTCAGTCTTGAACTTAAGACACTGGAAAACAGGGAGAAGACAAAAGGATAAAAAAGAGGAAATTAGTAGACCTAAAACATCTCGATATTGAAATTTTCATGATTCGACATGTGCCGTTATGCCAATTGGTTACTTCCAGAGTGTTCATTTCAATAGAAGATCATTTGACTTGTCCAGTTTGTCACAAGGGTACAGGCATATATACAGAAAATTCCCCATACAAGCAAGCATCAAAGTATGAACTTCACCAATGAGATTCTTAGTTGATAACTTGCACCCATGCATCTTGCATAATTAGCTTTCATTTTTTCCACGTGAGAAGGAAAAGAATACCATTTCTAGCATGGTAACAAACACTCCCACATTCTAATCTTCCGTAGAATGATTTTGAAAGATAACTTCAGCCAATATAAGCATAACAGCACAAATCCAAGCCCACTGCTAGCAGATATTGTCCTCTTTGGGTTTTCCCTTTCGGGCGTCCCCTCAAGGTTTTTAAAGCGCGTCTACTAGGGAGAAGTTTTCACACTCTTATAAAGAATGTTTCATTCCTCTCTCCAACCAATGCGGCATCTGACAATAAGAAACAAAATAAATCGATGAATGATTTGGTTTGGATTAATGGTTAGGTTTAAGACCTGATTTCTAAATTGCTAGTTGTTGGTTTGCGGTATTGGATTCAACTCTTGTCTACTTGACACTTTACAGAAGAATAAAGTGGAGAGCCATAGACTGAACGAAAACTTGATCAGAAGTCTGCTTGGATACAAGTGTATCAGAGACTCAACACGCTTCTCCAAACATTGCCGTTTAATATTCATAAGGCTGAGAATTTGCCACATGAAACACAGAGCCAAGCATATAGTTGACAGTCAATAATCGAAATTCCCACCCCGATCACTGACCAGAAAAACACATGATGTTCATCAATATCTCAACAAACAATTCCTTACCTCACGGTTATCGGTGACCTTAAGAACCAGTTTCCCATCGCAGTGTCGATACTTTACGTTGTACCGCGTCTAAATTTCCAGTAGGATTGAAAAAGAGAACAGTGGTCGCAGTTAGAAGGAATCGAAAAAACGAGAAACGATGCAATAAACGGAACATATGAGTAGACGGTAAGTTCGCAATAGATGAATTAGAAATCTCTTCACAATCCATTACGCTCAATTCAAATCATTCAAGTCTGCAGCGATGACTAGCTCGATTTCATGTAATTCAAGAGTTAAAAAAGCAATTGTAGAATCACAATACAATCATGCGATCTAATTTCTCATCTGTGATGTTGATTTCTCAGCAGCAACATCTACAGAATCGGATTTCGAAGTAAAAACTTACGGAATTAGGATCGGAGCGGAACAATTGCACAGAACGCTCGACGAATTCATCCCAGGAAGCTATGTAGACCATGGCTCGGCGGCAGAAGCGAAGGAGAGGTAGCCCCCGGGAAATTTGGCGAGCGTGCGAACAATAAATAATAAATAATAAATAAATAAATAATAAATAATAAATAAATAAATAATAAATAATAAATAATATTTTATTTATTTCTTTTACTGTCAGTGTCATCAACTGGAGGCCGTCTCGAGACGAGACTCCCGTTTTCGCTGTCGCTACACTCGTGAATTCTCTCCTCGCCGGCGCTTGATCGCAGTTGAAGTTTTACAGCAACGGCAATGGCCTCTGTTCAGCCAACTCCATATGCCTTCTCTGAAACTCCCATCCTATCCCGTTTCGCCACTTTACGGCCATGGCGGGAGCTTCTCCAGCCGCCGTCCTCCTTCATCCGCCCTTCATCCATTTCCGAAGCGACCATTCGATGTAAGCGCAATCTCAACTACTTTCGTGTTAATTACACCTTCATCGTCTTGCTCATTCTCTTTCTCAGCCTCCTCTGGCACCCTATTTCCTTGATTGTCTTCTTGATCGTGTTCGTTGCCTGGTTCTTCCTTTATTTTTTCACGGATGGTCCATTGGTGGTGTTTAATCGTGTTGTTGATGATCGAGTTGTGTTGGCTGTGCTTGGATTGGTTACGATTGTCGCTTTGGTGTTCACGGATGTGTCGTTGAACGTATTGATTTCGGTTTTGATTGGGGTTTTTCTTGTTTTGATACATGCGGCCTTTAGGGTTACAGAGGATTTGTATATTGACGAGCAAGAAGTCGCCGATGGCGGATTGCTTTCGGTTGTTGGCAGCAGGTAAATCCCTGGTTCATAGATTCTAGGTTACCAACGATGATCTTGCCTTGTCCGATCCAAGTTCTTCGTGCCACGATTCCAATGAGTATTAGATATCAATCTTTTCTCTCTAGCTATCACTTGGAGATCCGGTTTGATACCACTGATTATTTTAGGATGATTCTTTTATTACCAATTAAGTTTGAATGAGCATTTGGGTGTGATTTGCTGCAATGTTTTGGGTTTGAAGTGTTCTTTACTTTTGGAAAGATGAAATTTCAAACAGTAGATATCAATGTTGGGTTTGAATGTCCTGTTAATGTATACTATGTTTGTCTGCTATTTCATGTTGTTTCTGTGCATCATCTTGGAACATTTCTGGGTATGTTTGTAGATTCATATGAACTATAATGGTATGTTCCTGGCTCCAAATTTAGTCTCATCATTTGCTCTAAATTGTATGTTGTTGATCTTGATGATTCAGGTTGATTGTGAAGAGTAGCTACTAGATAGCATAAGATGAGCGCTTTCAAAATTTTGGAGTGATGATGCTCAGATTTAATTTGTGTGCTTGATTGTTAGTTGTCTTTTGTTCTTAGGTTGACAGTTTTTTATTGGATGTTCTGTGAGATCTCATTTCGATTGGAGAGGGGAACAAAACATTTTTTTTATAAGGGTGTGGAAACCTCTCCCTAGCAAGTGCATTTTGAAAACTTTGAGGGAAAGTCCGAAAGGGAATGCCCAAAGAGGACAATAAGTGTTAGTGGTGGGTTTGAGCTGTTACAAATGGTATCAGAGCTAGACACCGGGCGATGTGCCAGTGAGAAGGTTGAACCCCGAAGGGGGTGGACACCAAGAAGTGTGCCAGCTAGGACGTTGGGGCCCAAAAGGGTAGATTAGGGGGTCCCACATCGATTAGAGAGGGAATGAGTGCAAGCAAGGACGCTGGGCTCCGTAAGGGAGTGTGGATTGTGAGATCCCGCATCAGTTAGAGAGAGGAACGAAATATTCTTTATAAGGGTATGAAATTCTCTCCCTAGTAGACGCATTTTAAAAACCTTGAGGGGAAGCTCGAAAGAGAACGCCTAAAGAAGATTATATCGGCTAGCAGTAGGCTTAAACTAACTTGGTTGGCCAGTTTACTTTTTTTTTTTTTTTTTTTTTTTTTTTTCTTTTTTTTTTCCTAGTAGTACTTGTGGTTTATCTTCCAAATGGTCCAACTTTGTGCATCTTTTTGATTCCCATGCGACAAAGGTTAAAACTGGTGGGTTATTTAGTTGTACACTGTCTGTGCTTTTATCGGTGATTGCAAGTGAAGTTGTCTGAATTATCACATGGGATTGGCTGAGTTGTGGGCCACTGCCAGTAGATATTATCTGTTTTGACTCGTTACATATCGTCGTCAGCCTCTCAATTTTAAAAACGCGTCATTAGGAAGAGGTTTTCGCTCCTTTATAAGAAATGCTTCATTCCTCTCTCCAATCAATGCCTCTCACAATCCACTCCCCTTTGGATGGCAATCCATCTTCCTTGGGCCAATCAACCTTGCTAGCACACCACTTGGTGTCTGGCTCTGGTACCATTTGTAACATCCAAGCCCACCAATATCTACTTTAGCCAGTTACGTATTGCCGTCAACTTCACAGTTTTAAAACATAGTCTGCTAGAGAGAGGTTTTCACACCCTTATAGAAAATGTTTAGTTCCCTTTCCAATTAATGTGAGGTCTCACCTTTTATCACTCATTATTTTAAATTTCATACTTTTAGGTCCAAGAATGTTCCTTACATTCTCACATCCGTGGTGCATTCTATGATATAACTGGTTTTCGTTTGGTGATTGTCTTAGCATAGTGTTGTCGTTTCTTATTTTCGATGTGACATGGGTTGCTGTCGGATGAGGGATGATAAGGTAGCCTCAACCGGTGAGATTTTAGATTTTTTTACTAGAGTTGTTTTTTGTTTTGCTTATCCATTTGTGGCTGAGTTGTGGCATATTGAGCGCATTTGTTACGTTGTTTTTGTAACGGCTCAAGTTCACTGTTAGTAGATATTGTTCTCTTTGGGTTTTCCCTTTCGGACTTTTTCTCAAAAATTTAAAACTTGTCTGTTAGGGAGAGACTTCCACACCCTTATAAAAAGTGTTTCGTTCTCCTACCCAACTAACATGGGATCTTATAGTTTTAGACTTGCCAGATCTTTAAAATTGTATGGGTTGATTCTTAGTTGGGTAATATGCCAAAATCTTATATTAGGGATTGACGGGTTGTATTTGTTTTTTTTTTTTTGTTTTTTTTTTATGCCGTTTGATTTTAATAAAACTACACCTTTGTTTTTGTATGTTCCACTCATTCTATTTTCTACATTCTCAAGAACCTATTAAACACAAAATTGAGATTTAAGAGATTTATGATATAAAATTGAAAATTATAGATTTATTAGAATCAATGTATATTTATATTAATGTTTTGAATGTTGTTATTTAATATCATAACGTTCTTTTATTTTCATTGAAAATAAAAATGAATCTTTTAATTAAAATTATAATATCTTGATCATAATCTCATTCATTTTCCAATAATTGTACATGATAACAAAAAAAAAAAAAAAAAAAGGAAAATGTATCTGACTCAAGCATAAGCTATCATTGTCTTCCTTGTAACATATCACAGTGTTACAACTTCCAAATCCTCCCCAACAGACTCCAAGAATCGTCTCGTATTCGAGTAGTTCATAATATCTCAAAACCATGGAAACACTACGAGCGTAACGTTCAAGATCCAACAAGACCTTTGGATCGTGCATACGAGCTTAGTGACACATAAATGGTTGCACAAACTATTCCTGTCAGGATGACCACCTAAAGTCATGGGAAGGAGAAGATCAACAAGCATCAGACTGTATTCTTGATATGATTTTCCATTCAATTTTACTAAAAACACTTACCCATTTGAATACATGTTCATGATCTTCCTTCCAGGTATATGGGATATTCATTCCAAATATCGCAGTCACTAAAGAATAAATAGACAAACAAACAGTCCCAGAGCTCAAAAAGAGTTCAAGCTGCCACATAGAACATTACTTTTCTGAGAACTAAAAGAAAAAACATGATATAGTAGTTGCAGATGAATTTTTTGTGGCCAGAAATCAATGGCCATTTCAATTGCCAATAGATCCACAATTGTAAGCCAAAGAGAAAAATGTACCTGAATCAGTTGATTCCTGTGATTGTCAAGCTGCAACAGATGAACAGGGCATTTGATACAGAAACATAAGTATATTGTAGTTTTCAACATTGCTAAGAATATTGAGGAGTAAAGTTACAAGAAAATGATATCAATGACATGATTGAGTATTAGATAGTCAAGGATGTTGAAGGATTACCTGAATATTGATGTAATCCTCTGTGTCATCGATGTATTCCCGCAACTGGTAAGGGAAGACGATTTCAAAATATATGAACAAAAATACCACATAATCAGAAAGTTTCATATACAAAATATCAGATATGAACAGAAAGCAATTCGTTCATACCGTGATTAGTTTGTTTAATGTACCTTCAATCTGCATAAAATAAGCCTGCAGAGAGTTCATAATTAAGCTCCATTAGATCTTAATTTACTTGAAACTCTGTGAATTAGATGTTATATTCTGTTCTTAAAGACATTGATCATACCTCGAGTAACATTTCTAGTTCCTCAACATCATTCTCTCCTCGAAAAGTAATTGCACTTGCTCTACTTGTTTTAGACATCTTTGAATAGTCCTTAGGAGAAGCAAGAAACCAAATTGGAGTCCCAGAGCCGCTTTCAGGGGTGCCAGCTACTTTTCGTGACAAGTACAGCTCTGCCATGTCGTCGTCGTCATCCAGAAGTTGTTCAAGCTCATCCCTAACCTAGAATGAGAATGGTGTAATATCATGGCCATGAAGATAAAGAAATTGCATTAGAAAAAAACATCAGTTGGCTACTACTACAAATCTTTACTTTTTCTGTTCTTTTGACAAGCAAATCGTTGAGGGATCTTGAGGGGACTAGTTGGTTCATACTTTGTCAAGAATGATCATTTATTTTGTTGCTTTCCAGCTCATTTTGGCTCTACCAAACTAAGATTAAATGAGCATTGAGCAGCAACAGGAACGTATAAAAATTTGGCAGTCCGATAATATTCACAAGGAGAAAGGTGAATTGCAAGCTGGGGTTTACAGAGTAAACTCGAACCAGTATAGCTTTGCTAGCAGGGGCATACCAACAAAAGGTTCAAGACCTAATCACCACAATCGTCAGTGCAAAAAGACTCGTAGACTTTGGGGCAAACTCGGGGTAAAATCGTATAAGCCGCCGGGGTCAGCAGAATTGTTGACCGACTGTTGTAATTAAAGATCCAGCATATGGAACCCGAGATATAAAAGAATGAGCGTGTAATAAAAAACTACTTGCTTCATGATTTATTGTCTACTTCTCCTGAGAATTGAAAGTAGCCAGTACCATGAAGCTCAACCTATATACCATTCTAGAGTAGTATCAAACTCGGAGCCGAGCAATGCAACTTTGCTTTGCTGTAGCTTGTAAATATTTAGTTGAAGACCCAAGAGAGTGAAAACAGAGAAGGGCTCATAGCCTCATACTCAAGATGGCACAGAAAACGAGCTACCTTTTGCACCCGATTTGTCAACCTTGTCATTGCACTCTTCAGCTTGCGCACTCGATCCAAGTTACGACTGCTAATCTGCATATAAATTCAGAATTCTTTGACTGATGCCCACTAATAGGCAATCATGTAAAGACATGAATGCGGTTCCTAATTCAAATCAAACACTAGATGGGGGTAGTAAACATTTGTATCTGTTCGTTTGAAGAAAATCTTTTTTATGATACAGCTTGAATAGTACAAGAACATGGTTAGCAACACAACTATTCACCCAAAAGCATAATCGAAAACTTTTTAGTTAGCTTTTTTGAGGACTTAATGATAAATGCAGTATAACTTTGATGAGGTTTGTAACCAAAGGTTAACATTGAATTTGATTAAATATGACCCGTCCGTTTCCCATGTACCAACCACAATTATATAACTAAAATGGAATCTCTAATTGAAAGAATACAATCATATATTACTATTATTATTATTATTATTTTACCACATTGGCTTTCTAATAGAAGGATATCAACCTTCCATTAGTATTTCATTGTCAACTTTCAAGTCTTTACTAGAGAAACATAAGATGGTATGGAAGATTATACCCATAAAAGTCCCTTGAAGATAATTATCTTGATGAAAAAGTACTGTTTCTCTTAATGGAAATAAATCTAACTGAAAAGTGAAAATACATTTTATCTGGACATTTGT